TATCATATAGAAGGATGTAGCAACTGAACACTCTATTCTGTATTACTAAGGAAATTTTCCTGTCTCTTAATTATTTACTAAGATACTGGGCGGCATCCTTCGTTATTTAAATACGTCTGCAGATTTCTCTACCTCATTCCCCGTCATCTTTTATAATACTTTTTGAATAGTTACATTTCGATACGTGTCTGATTCTGTTGTCTCTAGTTCGTAACTCGCAGCTCGGATCGCCCCATCTTGATAAATATCAAACGTTCTGTGTTCTTACTGCTTGTCGTTAATTCTTTTTTTCTTATTCTTGTTGTCTTTACTACACTGCCTAGGAGTTCCTGAAGGTTTATTTACTACGAATTTCACCAAATATTGAACTAGCTTCATCTTTATTTTCATTAATTTCAGCACTTTTTTTCAGTAAATCTTCACACGGTACACGGCTCAAGGGTCTTTAAATGCAGAGGGTCACTGAATACGGTTGTTGAATGAACATAATGTTACAGAATGCGAACTCCAGAGCCAGATTGGTCAGCGATTGGCCAGAGTGTCTCGTGGGCGTGGTATTCTGATAGTGATGGATTGCCTTTTTCTGTGTTTTGAATATAAGTCAAAAATCGTGCGAATTCAACAGAGGGTCACAAGAATTCTGAAACGTCGATAAACCTCCCACATCCAGGTTAACGACCGGCTGAGATCACCCGCGGAGGGACAATGAGCCAACGTGCAACATGCGTTCCTGTGACGTCATTCCTCCAAGCTGCCGCCACTCACTCTTAAAACGAATAAAAGAACAAATGGTCCTTTTCGTTGATACCATTTTATGTCATAGCGTGAGGACCATGATACAACACAGAAGGCAACAATAAGAGGAGGTAAATAGTGTAGATTATGAGGATCGTAGGAAAGATAACGGTTGAAAAGTTTATTCACAAAGCAACCGTTCTTGGGAAGGAGCAATCGAAATAGAACTTCTTTTTTACTAATGGATTACGAAGAGAATGAGGATGGTGCGAACCTGTGTACCCATGGCCAGCCCTAGCGCTAAGGTGGAACTAATGAATGCAGCTTGTTAGAACATTTTTCATGGAAATAGCGATAGAGACATTCGAGGTATCGTCAGTGGGAAAAGGCTTGTAGGACGGAAAATAATTGATCACAAGTTGATAAGATGAAAGTTCATGTTAAATTACATTAAGATCTAGATACGAGTTTTTACTAATTCTTGGTATATTGAAAGAAAAAAGTCATTTTAAAATTTCAATCAAGTTTTAAAATTATTATTAGTTTGATGCAGAGGTTCTCAGCGACATATTTTGTAACGTTCTTGGTTAAGATTACATAGATCTTTAAGCGTTAGACACTATTTTATTGCTTGTTTCTCGAATGACCAGTTATTATAAATTCGGCAGCGAGGTAAATAGATTTCACGTGAATTCACGGAAACTCACGGCAAATGGATTTCCCGTGAACTCACGGGAACAAACATCGGCCATGTTTAAACACTTTTTTTTATTTAATTTTATTTTCATTTCTTAGACAATATATTTATTGCAATGAAATAAACATTAATTAAAGATTGAAAGAAAAAACTTGACTAGTCACAAAAAAACCAAAAACCAAAAAAAAAAAAAAAAAAACTTTCAACATATCAACCTGAACAGGATCTTCTGATTGAAAAATAAACAACTTTCCTGTCTGTATCATTTGGGTCCCGATCATCAACATGATTATTTCCATAACCGGATGTAGACATGGGATTGCTGGGCACCTGACCAGTCCCTCCCACATATCTGGGTTGAGAGCCAAGGAATTATTCATTCATGGCTAACGTGTCTTGACCAAGTAGACTTGACGGAGCCCATCTCGCTCTCGGTCAAAATACAGCTGATGTCCATCAACTTGAAGTCTCACCGTTACCGGAGACATGTAACCGTTAATTTCATCGTGGGAACTTTCTGCACTGGCTGATGACTCCAGTCAAGGAAGTTCTCCAACCAGCGATGCTGTGTTATCATCGCACTGGCTGTATATCTAGTTATGGAGCTCTCTCTACACCATTGTGTTTGATGATCATCGATACAAGAAGAAAGTTCAACCCTTGTTATATTAATTCACTTTAAGGATGCTGCAGATACAATGTAACTTAAAACTTTCTGCTCCACTGTTGAGCCACCGGCAAGTAAAATCTTCCCCCGCAAGCTTTTCTGGTGAGAAGGGACGTTAGACACCAAGCGAAATTTTAAAATGGAAGTTAATTACTAAGGCATTAAAACTAGAAAAAATATTTTTAATATATTAAAACAGAAACATAACTGGGAGAGAAGTTTGCTATTTAATGTTATATTTGCCATTTAAAATGATTTCTCATAACGAGTTTTTCAAGGTGTTAGACGAATATGCTCTTATCATAAAACGATGCTTGATAATCTTATGCACCAATTGAAATCTCGTTTGTTGAAATATCGCTGTGTGCGCAATGCTACGGAATTTTGAAAGAGTAATTCAAAGTTAAGACATATCAAGGAAGTGTACGGTGTAAATGCTAAGGTATAGTGCCAACCTCTTTCATCTCAAAGCCCAAGTTCAATGCTCAAATTGTTATACCATTGTACCTATCTAAAGGAAATTTATTAAACATTCATTGGCTATAGAAATATTCAGACTATACGCTTATTCCTAGATTTGCATTTTGTTTTTTTTCTAATTTTTTTTCAGTCGATTAAAAAAATGGCGTTATATATATCTGTATCAATAAACTCTTCCTTTTAACAAAATTAACGCTCACAAGCACACACAAATACAAACACAAACACACACACACACATATATATATATATATATATATATATATATATATATATATATATATATATATATATATATATATATAGAGAGAGAGAGAGAGAGAGAGAGAGAGAAAGAAAGAACGGAAGGGAGGGAGTTGCGGTGTAATGGATATTGGTTCGGAATAAGAACTCGGAGATCAGAGTTCGAATTCCAGTCCAGTTCGTTATATTCACTTATGGACAAATAACATTGGGAAAGTTATGAATCCATCTCTTCTCCCCAGCTATGGGTTGAATAGCAAGACAGACTGGGTTCAGTCATGTATCGAAAGATACATGATCACCCAAGCACAGAATGTATGAACTCTAGTCGGTGCCATTGAAATGCTCTTCTAGCTATGGGTAAAAATTTTCGTTAGATAACGGCCAACTTTGATGAAAGGACACTCTAAAATCCAAACATATATCTTTAAGTTCATGTACCTTTCTTAGGCAGGCACGGTGGAGTAATGGAGTTAGCGGTTCGGAGTAAGGAATCGGAGAGCCGAGTTCGAATTCCAGTCGAATCCATTACATTCACTTACGTGCTAATACGCTTGGGATAGGTATGGATCTTCTTCTTCTTGCCCTCCACCCATCTATGGGTGGACAGACCGGGTCCTATAGCCTTGGATGGCAACAGGTCTGCCGCAGAAAGAAATGGCAACCTACTGCGGAAAAAAATATATATGATTGCCTAAGCGTGTGTCACGTATGGCACATAACTGACTGACCTTCCTGAGACATTATTCCGAAGAGAAAATCCGTGACAGAGAGATCTATTCGGAGATTTTTGTTGCACAATGTACAGTTTGTTAGTTCTTCCCCAAAGTGTGGGTGGTTCTTCGGCTTTATAATCAAATAAGATGAGGGGTGTGTCATCCGTTGGTTCGGATTTCAACACACACACACACACACACACATATATATATATATATATATATATATATATATATATATATATATATATATATACGGTGGACCCTCCGTATTCGACTTATGAGGGTCAAGTAGCTTAGTTCCTAGGAACTGTCAGCTCAGACAAGCAGCAGTAGTGATGAAGGCTTTGTGCAGAACCATCTACACTTTTTGAAGGGCCGAATACGGAGGCCTGGTGCACTACGGGCCACAAGGTCCCCAAACGACCCTCCGTAGATTTTCAATTCAGAGTTGTCCTTCCTTTAACCCAGTTGTCATCCAAGGCTATAGAACCCAGTCTGCCATATTAACATATATGTCCTGTTATAGAACCTGTTATAACCCATATAACATATCTGTCATGTTATAGAAAACCTTAGCTATAGGGAGAAGATGGTATTAGCATGAATTAGACTGGAATTCGTAATCGACTCTCGGATCCCCCAATCTATATATATATATATATATATATATATATATATATATATATATATATATATATATAGAGAGAGAGAGAGAGAGAGGGGGGGAGAGATGGGGAAGAGAAATTTACTTTCATGCAAAATCAGTAAATACAGATTTAGGTATAATGTTAAATATTATGAGATTCTAGATTCAAGAATAGATTTTCGTTTTATGAAATTTCAGTTACCTTTTAAATGGCCCAAAAAGCATTTAATAAGACAGATACCCATTTTGCACCGTATATTTCATAAAGAGCTTTTGATTTCCCGCATAATGCGTTACTGGAGACATTCAATGCCAAACGAATGATTCTCGCGAAATAATTTTGCAGCCAGACTAGAATAGAACAAAGAGCATAATTTGAGTCATTAGGAAAAAAAAACTATTTTCTATCCTCAGTACATTATGTGTTACCTTGAACGTCAACAAAAGTTATCCCTTGTATAACATTAAGTATTCAAAAGAGAAAAGCGGCGAATGATATACCGAACGATCTTGTGCAGTTGATCGTCAAAGTGATATCAAAGGATAAAACTTACACAGCTAAAAAAAAATGTCAGCGAGTTGTGGAGGGCCATGATTGTCCACGTCCTGAAGGGACAAAGAAGAAGAAGAAGAAGAAGAACATTATAGTTTTATATATTTTAAATTTATTTTAAATTCTTTCAAGAATATTCTTTATGTCTAATAAAACATGTCATCAGATTCATGAGTTTTTTTTTTCATAGTATAAACATATTAAACAATAATTAAAATCAAATATAACAGTTAATTTTTGTGGCCTGAAAATAATTTCAA